CTCTCTCTCTCTCTCTCTCTCTCTCTCACACACACACACACACACACACACACACACACACACACACACAAACACACACATATATACACACATACATGCACACACACAAAAAACAAACCCTCACTCGCACAAACAAACACACACACATTCATACACACACAAACACACACACACACACACACACACACACACACACGCACACAGACACACACACACACACACACACAGGTACACATATATGGGCATCAAGGAACAGTCGTATCTATCTACATTGTTATGTGAAAACGGTTTTTATTTACTTTTTTTTACATTCCCCTTTAAGACTCTTTAGTCAACTCCTGTGATTTTAAAATATAAATGTAGGTGTTTAACATCCTTGTCGCCAAAATTAACTTAGATGATTTAGGAATCAGGCTTTGAAACAGCCGGAAAGGGGTCAACTCTGACTGAGAGGGATACAACAACCCAGCATATAGACTGAGAAACTTAGTAGTAGTAGTAGTAGTATAAGGTTTTACGGCGCTCGCAACTGCTAAGGTCATATGAACGCGCTGAGAAACTTAATAAAATTACTTTCCACTGAGATTGGTGGCACCATGTAATTAGATCCACCAACACTCATGGCAGCATTGACAGCGTGGTTCAAACGACCACAGAGAGGATGAAGGCACCACATCACACACAATGAATAGACTAAGGGAAGCTGGTGTCTCTAGAGGGTCGTGGAGAGACAGCAACCCGCGTGGAAAAACCAGAAGAATATCTAACCAGCTGTTAACTGACACGATAAGCAAGCAGACCTTCCTGGAGAGAAGGGAGGAGCGGCTATGTCATTGGGCTGTCTGCAATGATTCCTATTCTCCAACCAAGTAAGTAAGTAACTTTCCACTCATTAAACAAACTAGGGTCTCCTGTGTGCGACGCCAAATAGACTGACTGCTACACCGCAGATGCCAGTAGATTATGCACTCAGTATGATGTAGAAGCAACATGTACTTAACTTCCCATAACTGAAACAGTAACAGGTAGGTCAATGTGACAAGTCTGCTACAGGCATCTCTACTTCAGATGCTCTGATCGCAGAATCCTTTCGTTTGTTCAATACAATATCGAGAACTCTTTGGTGTCGCTTTTTTGTGGAGAGGAAAGGGATGGAGGTGGCTAAATTTGAATTTGTTTGATCTGCACCTCTAGTCCATCAAATTATGATTCTCTGCAAAACTGTCTCAATTAGAATTTGTAACCACATGCCTGTGACTGTGAACTCAAAACAGTGTTCAGTCTTAGACTAAAGCACATGACCAACTCGCTCTTTTCTACTAAAGAAGTCTTTGAACATCGGAATATTCTCAATTTTCAGTCCTGGTCTGACGTGCACCGTCACAGTTTTTTAATTGTTGGTTTTCCTAATGAGAAGAATAAAGGGGAAATGCGATCACTATTGCAGGTCTGCTGATCCCTTCCAGCTGAAACAAAAGAGTGAAAGTAGAGCCATGTCGCTGGTTAGCTGTCAAATTCCCGACAGTTCAGAGAATGTTTGGACCTTGGGTCATTTTATCCCGTTTAAAACAATGGATTGGTATCGGAGATTTTGTATCCTTAACGATAGATGATCCACTCCCAATTCTCAGACAACAGGGTCATCCTGTCAATGTGAGCAGTGTTGTGTTGTCCGTTGACACCTTTGGTCAGATATTGCACCTCACCCTGAAGTGTGTGTCAGTGTTTTACTCTGAGCTCATGTTTCAACAATTCACATAATCCAGTTAGCAGATGAGCAGGGAATGTTTCCACTTACATCAGCCACAGTACAAAAGTCGCGGAGGTTTTGGAATTTGACCGACACACACATACATATTATGTATACCATATATGCACTAGATTTTAAATTTAGATTTACAAATGCCACACTTTCTCTTCATGCTTCCAAGGAAAATGCAGAGCGCACCGTTTTATTTTGGACCAGATTTTTCTAATGGAAAAGTCAACTGTCCATCTAATAACCAGGCACATTTTGCAGTAACTCATCACTGGAGTCAGTTTGTTTTTCTACTTCCCAACGAAGGCTTCCATTTTTAGAAGAGGGACATGAAGTTCACCACTGTTTAAGCCAAACTGTCTTTCATTTTTGTCAAGTCTATCTTTTCACTTTTCTTTCATGAGCAAATACCATTTGCTACGTTTCGCTTCCCAAAAATCAAGGCATCAGGAAGCCTTAAACGCATTCCTGAAGATTGCGTCAGTTTACTCATGCATAGACAAATCAAAGGCATATCCAGAAGTCCCCCCCACTGAAGGTATCTTTGACCTTTGAACCCGGTGACATCACACTGGAGTGACCTTGCTTTTCCCTCCAGAACAATGCTGGCATCCTTGCTCTTCTTTCTGGAGTCGCTGAATCTCAGCCAGCATGGCCAAAATTTCTGCACGCTCTGACGTCATCCGGTCTAACTCTCTCCGCCTGTCTACCTCCGCATCTAAGAGGGACTTGAGGCGGTCTGACAGACGCTTCACTTCCGTTTTCAAACTCTCGATTTGACCTTGGAGGACGGCTTCTCTCTGTACCATGTGACCTGCAGGATGAAATATAAGTTGTTCTATTTAAGACTTGTTTAAAGAACATAGTTAGACGGACTAGGAAAGTGCATTCATTATTTACTCTACAGAACAACTTAGGGGATCGTCTGTAGATCAAGGGACCTGTTTTTGCCCTCATACTGAGATACGATTAGGAGACTTAAATGAGCATTAAATTTTCTTAAAATATTACAAATAAAGGCTATCATCTTGGTTTCTTATTCGTTTCTTCATATTTTGAACTACCATTTCAACTTCTTTACTACGACATGATCCGCCTACAGTAGTTAGCCAGGTTATTTCATTAATACTATACCAGAAGACACAAGTGTTCATAGTTTTTACTCATGTTTCGAAATAGTCTTGAACTTATCGCAAAAGCAGCCTTCTCGCAGTTTCATACCATCTGTGATAAGGCTGCTGTTAATAGTTAAGGTGAACATTAAAGTGTATTATAGTTTATTATTTTAAAAATCTATGTACATAATATATCATATGAATATATCTATACAACTTTCAAAATAATGTGTGATATATTCCTGCATGTTATTTGAGAGATATATCTGATGTCCAGTGGCGGTGGGTGGACCATGAATTGGGTGGACCAAGATTTGGGTGGGGCTTAAGTTTCTTCCACTTCTTTACCACCAAAAAGCAAACAATAAGAACAAAACAGTGATGATTTTTCTATACTCACGGCGAGCCACGGCATTTTGAGAACCATTCAAACGAGAAGAGTCACCTTTGTCTTCCATCTCTTTGTTCCTAGTTAAATTTAAGCTTCTGAATGGTGGGGACGAAGCCGTTTCACCTCCAAATTTCTCTAATTAGTTTTTATCTAAAGAAGAAGTTGCCTCAAAAGTGGTTTGATGTAATTAATAACTGTTAAATCTCAGCGGCACAAACACACATCACTCCGAACGCATACCGTCTATGAGGTGGACTGGGTCATGTTGTTGCGGAAAATAGAACGCGCCTAACAAAGGCCCAATGGGCGCATAGGTATCTGTGTCACTGGGGGAAAGTGTGTCGTAAACTTTCATCCCATTGTCTGGGCTGGGAGAGCGTGAGCCCTCTGTGCAGTGTTATTTTTTTTATAGTCTTCTACCTTTTTACTTTTTACTAGAAGAGTTTCACTAAAGACGAGCGTGGGAACCGGCTTATTCTTTCTGAGCCCTAACGACATTTGATTGGCTGTAAGGTTACTATAGTTGTAAGCGGTGACAACAATGATTGGATAAACTGGCAAGCCGCCAAGCTGATAACTGTGTGTTCATTGTGTGCGATCATTACGGTTTCAACTGCTTATTTCGTTATTTAAAAAACTTTCATTAACTAAGGGATAGAGTTGGGGTGGGGACGGGATGGGGGTGAGGGGCTCAAGCCCGTAAGCCCTTCACTACCCACCGCCACTGCTGATGTGACATGTTCTACTGTTGATAACTTTATTTTTCTCTTCATAGTTAAATTCCATTATGAAAGTAATAATATATACAATTTAAATTCAGTGTGTGTCAAAATGATATGCTTTTACCATTCATGTACAGCCACAGAGAATTTCCCAAAGGGACAATAAAGAGTACCTTGTCTGATCGTATCCTAACTTATCTGATCGTATCGTATCTTTATCTCATCTTACCTTATCCTTTCTTATCCTATGTTATCTGATCTTTATCTTATCTTTCCTATCTTATCTGATCGTATCGTATCTTTATCTTATTTTATGTTATCTCATCTTATCTTATCCTATTTTATTTTATTTGATCTTATCTTCATCTTATCTTATCTTATCTTATTCTTTCTTACCCCTTTGTGCATCAAGCCTGGCTTCCAGATTTCTCCTCTGGTCCTCCATACGACACGTCATTTCCGCTCTGAGTACCTCCACTGTTGTGCGCAGCTCAGCGATACACGAGTGCTCTCTGGCGTCATTTTCTGACGTCAGTTCCAGCCCGCAGCCTCCAGGGCATACCCGTAGGCCTGAGGGCGTCGGGGCTGTGTGAAGATTAAAGACAAGAAATAAAAATCTAAGTTACGCAGATAGTGTGAGATAGACAGGCCATGCAGGATGAAAACATCCAGACTAAGTAGGCAGCAAACTAGTCGACAGACAGAAGGATGGACAGACAGACAGACAGACAAACAGACAGACAGACAGACAGACAGACAGACAGACAGACAGACAGACAGACAGACAGACAGACAGACTGACGTGCGGGCGGACAGACATATAGACAGACAGACAGACAGACAGACAGACAGACAGACAGACAGACAAACAGACAGACAGACAGACAGACAGACAGTATGCAACAAATCATATAAAGCTTTCAGAATAAGAAATGCTGAAACCAAGAGAGAAGCCTGCAATCTGAGCACATCCACTAGTGGAAGTGAAGATTTTGAATGCTCACAAGGTGGCCAACTTTTTTCTGCCAGAATTGGTCTCACTATTTTCCACAGCAGAAGCCAGAACTAATGGTAACTTTCAATTCTTCTATTTAGCGTTAAAATATGCCCCTTTGAGGACACAATAGTCATCCAAGGACATTGACAGACGGACTATAATAATAATAATAATAATAATAATAATAATAATAATAATAATAATAATAATAATAATAACAATAATAACAATAATAATTATTATTATTATAATATTATAATAGGCCTACTACTAATATTAATTGAAAATAATAATAATTTAAAAGAAAAAGAATAATAGATCTAATAACAATAATATATAATAATAATAATAATAATAATAATAAAAATAATAATAATAATAATAAATAGTAATAGTAGTAGTAGTAGCAGTAGTAGTAGTAGTAGTAGTAGTAGTAGTAGTAGTAGTAGTAGTAGTAGTAGTAGTAGTAGTAGTAGAAAGTAGTATAGTAGTAGTAGCAGTAGTAGTAGTAGTAGTAGTAGCAGTAGTAGTAGTAGTAGTAGTAGTAGTAGTAGTAGTAGTAGTAGTAGTGGTAGTGACATGTCAGCTGTGCTCACCATGTGACGTCATCCTACTTGTGTGACACAACAGCACGTGTTCCTCCAGCTCACGTCGCGTCATCGACAGGGCACAATCTTCGAATGGGCAGGTAACTGGAGAAATAGAAAAACATTTTGATTCTTATTAATTATTTCCCTTGTTACGAGTCTCGGCTATACAAAACAGAGCAGCCTGGGGCTTCTGACTTCTGATCTTTATATTATTGTTTCTGGTGCATTCTGTCAATTCAATTCATCGGATTGAACGACGGGTTCAGCTATATTTTCTTTTATGGGTGAGACAAAATTGCCATTTTGGGTAAATACAACCGAATTCAATCTAGATAATATCTAAGTCGACTGTGACAGTCAGAATCAAACGCGTTTGTTCTTCTAGGTCGCAAGTCCAATCGGTCGTATAGAGCCAAATAAATGCCACCTATGCACAGTACACCGAAAAATTATAGTTAGGAACATCTCATAAGGAAGCAACAGCCTATACCTCTATTGAAGGAATGTGTTTCAAGTAGTAAATAAAATATGTGTGTGTGTGTGAAAGGGGGGGGGGGGGGTGAAAAGGGTCATGCTCACACGTACGCACGCTCGCACGCACACACGCAAGCATGCAAACACGCACGTACACATGCACATAAACACACACACACACACATACACACTCACACACACACACACTCACACACACACACACACACACACACACACACACACACACACACACTCACACACACACATACAGACACAAACACACATAGACACACGGACACAGACAAACACACACAATCACACATGCGCGCACATTCACACACGCAGCCTGTTTTACTACTTAGTCGGTAATATCAATCCCTACTCCACTCAACGAATATCCTTATTCAGGCCCTTGAATTGTTCACATTTGAGATAAAGTTGCTCTTTAGTTTCATTTTTAGAAAGAGTTTTACGGCACTTCGACACGATTAGGTCATATGAGTGCCGAAGATTAGAGGTGTTACAAGGTGTAACAAACACAAAGAAGAAGGAGGACAAATAAGAACGATATATGTTTGACAGAACAGAAAGCATCTATCTCACCATAGATGTAGGAAGTGTTTACTCTGTGTCATAGGGTCATAGTTTATACATTTGTACTTCCTATATCTATGAACCACACCAAAGCACCCGCCAGCCACCCACTAACTGGGTTCACATCTCGTTTCTGTTTCTTGATTAAGAAGAGATGTTTGGCAGCAAAGTTGATTGATACGTAGTCGTACCTGTTGCGTGGTCACATGCTGTTTCATGGGATCGCAGGCTTTCCATAGTACAAACTGTTAGGCAGCCCTGCCAAGGGAGTGAGTAGAAGAGTTGTTGAGACTTTCTGTTTCATAATAAGATATAGATTTAACAGGATTACTGCACACTGAACAGAGATGAAACTAATCATGTTAAAGAAATTAATATTGAACATCAAAGGATCAAGTGACTCAGTCATCTGATGAGAATGCTCCTCAAATCAACCAGCTGCACGAGCATACAACTCAAAAGAGTCAGGATACAAGAACAGGGGTTGACCACGCAAGGCTTGGCTGGATAGCGATAAAGAGGTCCTCCAAAAAAATAACATATTAGCAACAACAGAAACCACGCACCTAGTCCTTGACCAAAAGTTGCACCTCCCCGAGACATCTAACGATACAAGAAGAAGGATAAAGTAAAGACAAGTAAGGAAAGAAAAGAAGCAGGACTATTGAATGTATAGATACCGTATATGCCTGGAAATGCGTGTGAGACTCAGATACACAAAGTAGATAAACAAAATATACAAGCGCATACGTGCGCGCGCACACACACAAATACACACACACACACACACATACACACGCACACACACACACAC